AATGAGAAAGAGAAGAGAGAGGGAAGAGATCAATCGTTCACTCGAATATGCGCCCTCCAAATCCTCCAATTTACTTTTTCTAAAGTCATATTCTCATCCTACCCAAGAAGAAGCATATCAATTCATATCACTCTAATCCAAGTCTGTTTGATTCTTCCTCTCCATATCCTACTCGCCTCTTTTCCCCACCTCTCAACTTGTCTACCTCTCAACTTGTCTAATAGGTGCATCATTCGATCTTCTAAGCACGTGCAAGCCTGAGAAGTATTTTACAACCTAACACTTCGATATTTATTATTGTTATACCATATATATGCATGCACATGTAACGCGCACATGTTCACTCACTCTCTCTCACACACACATACATGCACATAGTTTAAATAAAAAAATGACTTAACGTGTATAATGTGAATTAATCACAACCGTCCAAATTATCCATTTGATGCACAATAAACTTACCTGATGCACTTTTTGAAAAGTACATCAAATAAGATTTTGTTCGAAAGTTCATTAGATCGGGTTATTGTGCATCAGATTTAAAATTTGGACAGTTGAGATCAACTATTATTTTACATGTTAAGCCTTCTTTTTATTTGAACCCTCCTTTACACGCGCGCACACACACATATATAGTGTAAATCTCTACAATATTATAAGGGGGAATAGTGTCAAGGATTAAACTGTAACACTTGAGATTTAATTTAAATGGATTAATAGTACTACTCATACAAACAAGGTGCATCTCCTTTTAAGGGAGCTCATCACCCAAGAACTCCAAAGTTAAACGTGTTTGCACGTGAGTAGTCTTGGGATGGGTGACCCCCGGGAAGTTTCTCACGGCGCGCACGAGTGAGGACAAAGTGCGCATAAAAGGCTAGTGACGGTTTGTGAGGACAATACTAGAGATCTGGAGGTTATGTAGGAGTAACTACCTCGGGCCCTATGGGGCAGGGTGTTACAAGTGGTATCAGAGCAACCCTGCGACAGTGTGTTGACCCGTTGGATATCGGGTGAGCACTTGGCGGGGGAGGATTCTGGGATTTGATTGAAATTTGAGATTGGTTTGTGGGCGCAACGAGGACGTTGCGTTCCTAAGTTGGGGTGATTGTAACACTTGAGATTTAATTTAAATGGATTAATAGTACTACTCATAGAGATAAGGTGCATCTCCTTTTAAGGGAGCTCATCACCCAAGAACTCTAAAGTTAAGCGTGTTTGCACGAGAGTAGTCTTGGAATGGGTGACCCCTGGGAAGTTTCTCAGGGTGCGTACGAGTGAGGACAAAGTATGCGGAAAAGACTAGTGGTGGTTTGTGAGGACAATATTAGAAATATGGAGGTTATGTAGGAGTAACTACCTCGGGCTCTATAGGGCGGGGTGTTACATAAACGGTCTTAAAAAAGTGTTGGTGTCTCTTGGTGCATAAACTGATTGTATTTATATTCACTTTGTTGTACATCTGTAAGGTGTTCGCACCTTTCAACGTTATATCCTTACGGAGGAAATCCTCACCTCCTCCGTAGTATTGGCTTCAGGACAGTTTGATTTCTCAAGCGTCCTTGGTTGGTCGATTATAAATACTGTGTCGCAACTCTTCGGTCTATTTTCGGCTTCTTCCCTTTTATACTCTGGTATGTTTTTCCTCTATTCAACCATTTTGCATTCTATAGTTGCTTTACTTGCGCATTTGTATGATTAGCCATGTCTTCTTTGCATCTATGTTTCATTGTTTATTTACATTTCCCTCATTTTCGTATAAAAGGTTCCCCGTCCAAGGAGTTTATTTTGGGTTTTCCTTTATTCCATTCTGCTGCCTCCCAAATTCCTCTGTGGTTGTATGTACGGGCTCCCATATTTGTTTATGATAGTGGTTTGGGTGGCTAGAGTTGATGATTCCATCCTCCCATTGTGTAGTTTCCCCTTTTTATTTGTGCCATCTATGTGTTTGTTTATATGTCCACATGAATTGAAGTAATACTTTTCTCTCAAACCTCTATTTTTACCTACCCTTTTTTATTTAGGCTTTTTAAATAAATGTTCGCATCTATGCAACCAAGTAGAAAAAAGGGTAATGCTTATTTATATGCATAGTTTTAATTTAGAAAAATGACTCTTGTAGCCTATAGACTTGTGTGGTATGGATCCTATTACATACTTATCATTTAAGCGTAGTAAGGAAAGGGTTCTATTGACTCCAATGTAGGTCATTCTGAATTGGATGATGTGAAGCTATTAATTTAGAACATGGTTCTGCTGGAAAAATGATTTATATTGAAACATGCATCGACTTTTTCCATTCTAAGAATTGGTCGGCCAACCTTTCACAATAGCAAAAAGCCAGGTTCTCTAAAAAGAAAACATTGCAGTGTGCTTAGAAGGAAAAATAGAAGTAATCAAACCCATTTGTTGGAGATTGGAGAGAAAGAACCTAACTCGTTATAGAAATGTGCTTTGTGCATGGAACCCATTTATGAGGTTTTATGATTACTTTGTAAGGTTTTATGATTTCTTTGTAGACTAAATTTGAAAAAACAATTTTGTTTGGAACGTGAATGTTAAAATTCTGCATTCAACTATCTCTTGCTAAAATTTCACACATGACTACTATTGATTTTATTGTACTTTGGGTTTTGGAGACAAGTTTCACTTTTAGAATGTAACAGGAGATTATGTGTCCTAAAAAAGTATCGAGATTAAACAGGTTTGGTAGCAGTTAGTTCCCAAGTTCACTAGATAGTCGAAACACCAAGTTGAATAAATTTACTCTATATGGGTAGTTATTAAGCTGAAACTATGGATACAACGGTTAAGTTGAAGCTTTAGCTTCTCAGAAGCACTTTTCTTCAATTATATCCATTCTAATTACTTCTTTGTGATGTCAAGGTCTGCAAAGAAAGAATTTAATATTTAGTTTTTTATTAGTTTAGAGAGAATTCATACTAAAAAAGTAACACTTCGTTTCGGTGATTTAATGTGTTTTTTTATTTGTCTACTTAAAATATTTATGCGGAACTCTTTGCAATTAGTTTCTTCCTCTGGGACATTACTGTTTTTTAAAGGTCAGACTATTTGGAGCAGAAAAGAGGCCAAAAACTTCTTTTACTTGGACTGGAAGGCTCTAGAACCAGCACCATATTCAAATAAGCAAGTAATTCATTTGTAATTTAAAAAAGTATTTTTTAGCTTTTGTGTTTGTTAGTATTTTGCAAATCACAATTTGCATACACAAGATGCTGGTCCTTCAAATAACATAATAAAAAGTTCTGAATCTTGTGATGTGTGAATTTAAGCACATGAAAAGCATATGAAATGAGACTACCTACGATCTTGTGATGTGTAAATTTAACAGATTGTATATGAGCATTTTTTTGTATTACTCGAAACTACATTGGAATGAGGATAGTCTGGTATGTATTTTTCAGTTGAACTTAAAAGTATAATGTTAGCCAGTTGAAGGATAAAATGGCGTCCCTTATCAGTTACCACTTCTTACTATCTAAATTTAACATGTCATATAGTAGTGAAGTAAGCATTGAAAAAAAGACAGATTCTAAAAGTAAATGGAAATCAGCACAAGATTCATACTATATGCATAGTTTAATTTAAAAGGATATTATATGCATAGTTTAAAAATGAGTCAAAAGCTTGGCCAAAACCCCAAGTATGAAGAAGGTTATTACCATGGACTTTGAACCCCTCTTAAAGCATCTTCTTGTGTCTTTTAGCTATAGAACTATTATTCTACCCGTGCGATGCACGGGAAAATATATTACTCATACGAAAAAGTAAGTTTTTGAACCATGTTAATTATTCATGTAATTTAATAATTTGTCACATATAAATTAGATTGTCATAATGTAATAATTGTAAATATAAATGAACAGAAAAAAATCTAAGAAACAAAAAATTTCCACAATAATAAAAGCATATTGAAGGATGAAAGTTATAAATGTTTTACAAATTTCAAAATACTTGCATAAATACAACATTTGTTGTTACATTGATACTTTTGCGATTTTTGAGACATATAATTATTTCAAACCACCGATATTAGAGTCAATGGATATTAGACAATCAGAAAAAATTGTGTTCTTTGAAACTTTAAAGACAACCACAAACCGTCTAGTTCAAGGACATTCTTGTTATTCACTCCTTTTCACCTCCTTTCAAAAAAAAACTCCTTTCAACCTATGTTAAACAACCAGTCCGAAAAGCAACCCGGTCACATAATTGATATGATTTTCTTTGTTAAAAAAACAAATAGTACTCCCTCCGTCCCGGAAAATTAGTCCCACTTTGACTTGGATCGGAGTTTAAGAAAGTGAGAATAAAGTGGAAATGTATGGTTGTGGTTGAGTAAGAAAAAGGTAAATGAATGTTAGCCACACAAAACTTTCCAAAAAGGGAAATGAGAACAATTTTTTGGGACGGCCCAAAAAAGAAAATGGGACTTATTTTATGGGACGGAGGGAGTATATAAATATATTGCAAGTGATTTTCACTTGCACTTTATCGCGTCAAATTTTTTGCTTCCAAAACATGTTTACTTAATCTGGTAATAACCACTCCGGGGAGAATTCTATATGGCTAGAATTAGGGGGTGTTTGGAACTGATTCTAATTCTGCTTCTTTTTTAAAGCAGAAGCAGAATCAGAATCAGTTTTCAGAAGCTGGTACCTCCCAGCTTCTAAAAAAACTGATTCTGAGAGTAAATTAGAGCACCAGAAGTGTTTCTGGAATTTCACCCAAACACTCCAGCTTCTGTTTCTGCTACCTGAAGGAGCATAATCAGTTTTGAGAATCAGATCCAAACACACCCTTAATACTATTAGTATTGATTCATTACATGAATTTACTCCAATCTAATGAGAATGTATTTCATATCTATACTACCCATGTTTTATTTAAAATATTTTTAATAAATGACAGATCGAGACCAAAATGCAGCCCAAAAGTCCACAATCCAAAGCCCAAAATGTACATGAATTACTCTCCAAACCCAAATTTCCTTCGCCAACCTAGCGTAACATTCTCAGCCACCGCCTCACCTCCGCATCTGTACGGTGTAATCGTCTCACCAACACCCGCCTCAACATCTTCGTCGACCACAACCATAACCATTGGCACTCGCCCCTGCGTCAACCGATCATCATTTTCCATCTTCTTTTGGCATCACTTGCACCCTCTATGTTCGCCGGTCGCCACTATTAAGCTAATAGACCGATCGCCACTGTGTTGTCCTCACCGACAACCGGTCATCATATACATTCGACGCTTTCGACGACTCTCAGCACCTTTACTACGCCCAATCGTCAACAAAGTTTTCATAGGTAAGTTCTACATTTTAATGACTTTAATTAATTTGTTTTTCATGCAATTCTGAAGTACTTTAATATACTTTCTTTTTCATTTAAAAAGATGTATTTAGTTCGTACACTTCATATTCATTTGCTTGAAAAAAATTCCGTTCAAATTTATATTTTATTATATAAGAACTCAAAAATTGTGATTCTTTGAGTTATATGATCCGGAATTGCTTGTTAACTATGTGAATGCTTGCATCTAAACGTGCTGCTTCAGAAAACATATTACACAAGAATTGATTTGTGAAAAATAAACTGTGATGATTATCCAACTATTTCGTATATCCAAATTTATACTCCGTATTTATTACAGATTTTACCCCAAACACTTATACACACATTTAATGAGTAATTATTGTTGAATTTGCATTGTGAGCATCATAGGATAGATATCAGAAATTCGTTTTAAGCATAGTAATGGGGACATGGAATATATTAACAAAGGGATGAAGGAAGCATCTCAATGAAGTTTTTTCTTGAAATACATTTCTCTTCTGAATACAAACCCAAAAATAGATAAAAGCTAGAGAGAAGAGAATGGTGGTGTGGAGTTTTTAAAAATAAGGAAAGTTTTGCATTTCTGTTATATGCACGCATGTAGAGTAGTCATCTTTCATGATTCAAAATTGTTTACTTTGTTTTACATAATTTCGTATGTGCATGTGGGATATGTTGAAAGATTGTTTTTTTACTTCAATTCAAAAACAACAATGCCACAAATCCTTCTTAAAGCTAACATGTTGACTAAATTTTTATTAGAACTCAACTCTAACTTGGAAATTATGAACAAACTGAAATTAATTTGAAACCTTGTTTGATATTACGACATGATCAAACTGAAATTAATTTGAAACCTTTTTTCTAGATAAAGATACTATACATCTTTGTTAATTTTTGACACAGATTCTTCTCTATTGTGCCTTTTGTTTTTATTTTTACTTATTTGGTTTTGACACCAAAGTTGATGCTCATAAAGTGACTACTGTTTTTTAATAAAAGATTAATTACTACATCATACTCGATCATAATGAATCAACTTTAAATAATTAACCCTATTTTATTTTTTATTTTTTAGAACACAAAGAGGTATATATGCAATTACTAAGACTGTGGTATTGAGTTTTGATAGGACTGTAATGTTTTTTGCTTTGTTTGGGAGTTAATTTGGATAGTTCTTCTCTGGTTTATTAGTAGGACAAAAGAAAGAGTGTGGTTCAATAAGCGTCTTACGGAGTATTTGAGAAAAACACCGAAGGAATGTAAAATTGTCATATTGCATTATTTTAACCACTTATCTAGATATTTATTAATGCTGCTTAATCTAATTCACATTAATGGCGATTTATTGCTAATTATATGACACTTGTGCGGAAGAAAAAAAACAGTGAAATTTAGAGTGATATGTACGGTCATGTGCACATAAAAATTTAGAATGAGATATTATTAATCTTTAATATAACAACAAAATAAAAGATTATTGGGATTTAGTGTGATTTCTACATTCGAATATTCAATGTGATTTATACATTCTGCATGTGATTTAGACATTCCGCATTTTAGTTTCTTATATGTTTAAACTACAATTTTCATGAGAACGGTTAGTTTGAACTAAAGAAAATGTGTTTGACGATAAGAGAGCAATTCACGAGTTGACACCGTAATAGTTTTTGATAATAACAAACAAACATTTGAAATTCTTAAAGTAGTTCTATAAATTTAAATGTATGAATCTTATTTTACCTTTACATGTGATAGATTTCATGTGTATTTTACCTTAATGCCCAATGCATGTCTGAAGAAGTAATCTACAAACCAAAAGTTGGGACATCTAAACACCAATCATGTGTAGAAATCAGATTTCTTACAATAACTATGAGAACAATAATATCATGGTTTGTGTTAGGCAAAGATCTAATGGTTCTATACTGTCCTACAGAAATGTTGATTTCATGTTTTTGTTCTTTGTAGCCATTTCTTTGGGCTGCAAGCAATGATGAAGTTGTAAAAAGGTGGAACCCCTAATTATTTGTATAAGCAAGGTTGTACAGAACTGTTGATCTCAGGGCTTTGTTGTGAGTGAACAGTTTGTCCAGCTTCGTTATACGAGGTATGTCAGTAGAGGAGTAGAAAAGTTAGCTCGTATTTATAGTAGAAAGATTCTGGTAGCTTTATGCTAGAATATGAAAAGCCACATTTTGGTAGCAAGCATTAAATGTCCACGTGTTGAACAATGTGATAGCACATTCAATGCATAAATGTTGAGCAACGTGAAACACATTCTTTCATACACACCTTTTCATGGAGAAGATAAACAGCCTCAAGCCGTCATAATTACTGCATTGTTTGCTAATCCTTTAGATGACCAATATAACATTTCAAACGTATTGAGCTAATCCTGCCCAAATTCCCTCCCAAACTTTCCCACACACTTCTCCGTTTTTATATATATATATATATACTTCCTCCGTTCTTTAATAGTTGCAACACTTTGACTTTCACGTTTACCAACGTGCAACTTTGACTTTAATTATATCTAATTACGCATTAGTAAAAATTATAAAAAGTTAATATTTTGAAAATTCACATCAATAGAAATTTAATGACATTTTATACATAATAATTTGATTTTATATATTAATCGAAAATCGTGGTCAAAGTAAGGTGTGTGAATAGTGCAAATATCCTAATGTTGCAACTTTTAAGAAACGGAGGAAGTATATATATATATATATATATATATATATATATATATATATATATATATATATATATATATAGATTTCACTACTTAATCATACTTCTTATGTCTTTGAAAATCGCTTTAGAGAGGTGTCTACATAAGGCTAAATCAATCTTTCTTTTCAATCTTACTGAATATGAATAGTTCGTAGTCTCTGGTGTGATATTACATGCACGCACACTTAAGATTGACCTTATCTCAACATAATACAGACTGCATAAGAATCTAAATGTACTTGAGGCGAAGAAAGTGCCAGCAAGAAGTATTTACTTACCTAGCTTACAATAATAATTTACCAAGTTGAGGGTCGGTTCACCGGTTCAAACAAAATAACAAAAAGGAACTGTTTGTTCTGCGGGCGGAAATGTTTATCGTGAGAGGAGGGTGTTTGTGTACCCTGTTGGAATGGGGACACTAAATTGCTAGGGGTGGTGGTAGTGAACTATGCGGTTTTAGGATCCGAAGGGGTAAGGGCAGCAGACCGATAAACTCTCTGTGATAAACTCAAACTTACAGCCATTTATGCTAATATAACAATTAATTTGCAGACCTTGTATACTAGGTAGCCTTATTTGGGAGTTTTAAGCACCGAGATGTTCATTGTGTACTACGGAGTACATTTTACTATCGCAGTGGTTACCCATGTTTAGATACACGGTCCAAATGAATATGATTTCTTCTTATATTATGATGATTTTTAAGGGAAAAATATGTATGCAAAGAATTCATTGTTGTCCGTCCAAGTTTCCCTCTTTTTGTGTATGTTGATTCTTCCCATGCAATTTGCCTTACAAACTCACTTAACAGACAACATAGTATTGACATGATTAGATAACGGGTTTGAGTCCCTGTACTTTAAAATTGTAATAGGGTCAAAGTTCTTTTTGGATTGTTTCCAACTTGCTATTATATAAAACAAAATCAGATTAAGCAGCACAACTTGCTATTATATAAAACAAAATCAGATTAAGCAGCACAACTTGCTCTAACCATTAGACTAACCTGTTAACTATCTATACCTTTATGTAAAAGTTTACTGTGAGCTTTAAGAGGACAGATTTGCCTCGCTAAAAAAAGAATAGATTTGGAAGAGCACGCATTAAAGAATCTTTTATATAAATTAAGAGAGAAAAGAATGCATTGTAGTTTCAAAAGTAGTGAAGGACCTTTATAATCCAACACTCAGGTTTCGGTTTTTAGCAATTACCTCCAATATTTGCTTAGTTTTTTTTAATTCAACCAAGTTAATCATACAAAGTTTTATACAACTAACTTGGTGTTGTTGTATAAATTGTTGAATTTGTTTAGCGTACTTAGAAAGGTGCTGCTGAGCTGCTATATATGAACTGTAAAAGGGAGGTACCAGATTGTATAGATGTTAAAGGGCATTCAGTCCACTTTGAAACACTCTTAAAGAATCTTTTTATGACTTTTAGCTATAGAATTTCACTACTTAACCATACTTCTTATATATTCAAATATTGTAGAGATATTACCCGAAATAGGACTAAAACAGTTTGAAAATTCCAAAATAGGATTGTCACATTTTTATTCCCAAAATAGGACTAATTACTGCCATGTTTTGGCATTACCTGACTTCAAACATGTCAGTATTTTCTAAACATGTCAGTAATTAGTCCTATTTTGAGAATAAAAAACATGACAGTCCTATTTTGGAATTTTGAAACTGTTTTATCCTATTTCGGGAACTTTCCCAATATTGTATTCATATTACTCACATATTCACTCAACCTAAACCGAGAAATTAATGTCCCTACAATGGCTTTGGGCATTACCACGAACGCGTAACGCGCGTTACTAAACTAGTACTTGTGATAAATGTGGGATTGTACTTTGTGGAAAAAATGACATGTATATTACTAATAAAGTTTTCCTGGATAAAAATATACTAGTTAATTTTTTGTACAAAAACATGACTAGTCACTATATACGAGTAATTGGACAAGAGTCTACTATAATGTATTTCAGAATAACAAGTCATTGTTAAATGATAAGTCACCGAGAATTAGTCACTAAATATGTCTCTTTTTTGGAAAATTTTAAACTAAGTCATATTTTTTATCTTTTCAATTTAATTTAGTAATATTAATGGAAAAAGTCCTAGTTTGTGTGCCTGTCAATATAAATGATTATGTCTAGTTTAAAAAGTGATAATGTTTTCTAAATGGTACGGAGTATAAATAGTTGCAAACACACGTGTGAAAAGTGGCCCAACACAAATGATTATTGTTTGTCGATAAAAATGTAATATGTTTGGTGTTTTTGTTGTTATAACTAATGTAAGCCTCAAGGCATATATGAAAAGCCTGTAAAAAATAGATCACGGTAAATTTAGTTGAATTAAAAATGTAAATCACTTCAAATGAATAAACATAAGTCAGTTCTCAAGTGAAAGTTGAAGGGCAATCAAATAAAAACTAATTATTGAGATGAGAAAAATTTAAGTTGTAGATTGATGAAGAGATATTCTTATATTGATTCGTAATTTAAACTGAATAGGGAGGAAGAAAACACATCTAAAATATTACAAGACAATGAGAGTAAAGGTGTTTTGGTCTCTTGGATATGAAAAATGTGTTGGTGTAACAATATGCTCATATGAAGTTGTAATTGCCCCATTGAGATGTCTAAAATTATACTCCTGTGCCTTAGACGACCCATTAGTTGCTTTTAATTAACAATGCATTTCAGGTTATAAGTGATAATATATCGAATGTAAATATGCATACATATATATATAGATTAAATAGATCCCAATGCATAAATAAAACCTAAATTAAATACTCCTAGCAAAAGTAAAGGTTCAATGGCATAAATCGCAAAAGATAAGGAATTTGCTTGTGCTGAAATAGCTGGTTGGCGTGGGTAATGGACTATCAACAAAAACATAAAAAGGGGCGGAGGTCTACTTTAGACTTGTTCTGGATGTTGTAGTCGCCAAGGGTGAGGGTGTCGGAGAGGCTCCTGCCGTTAAACAGGAGGTTCTGCTTCTCAACAGGCATACCTTCCAAGTCCTTAATCTGTTCCTTCAAATCCCGAATGATGTCTGAAGATTCAACCTCGAGGATAATTGTCTTCCCTGTCATGGTTCTTACATATATCTCCATCATTGCACCTGTGGTGGTCCTTGACTGCTGCTGCTTCCTATTCTTAACTTGGCGGAGGTCATCCTCGGGTTCATCGTTTCTCTTCGGAGTAGCAACCGCGTACACATGAATAGGCTGGGAAAGCGAAGCCACATCCAAAAACCACTCCAGTGATTGATCATCCATCAGAGGGATAGAAACAAACAGGACTTTGCCTCCAGGAAGGGTGGTCGGGTACTTTCCAAACAAGTCAAACATTTTGTCCCTGTCATCACCGTTCATTGCAGCGTGCACTTTCCCCACCAGCTCTTCATACCTGTTACCCCTTCGACTCAAGAAACACATCGTTTTTGGCGGCTCAAAGTAATCAACGGAGCCGAGATATCCATTCTTTATTACTTGACCTCCCCAAAATAACAATGCAGCAACTTGATCTCCACTACCTTCATTTACAAATATCAGCTATTTGTATTACAATACCACTTATTTAAACGTCTATACAACAGCAACATAAAACTGTCATAACCCAATATATTTCATACCTGTCATTTCCTCGTACTACTACTGTATGTTTCAACAGAGAAACAATGCAACTTCCCTGAAAAAGGTTTAGTACAAAAAAAAATCAAAGTTAAGATTAAGATAATTTAGTTTAACCTGCCCAAACGATTGCCTCCATATAAGTACATATCCTAGGAATCGTAGTAAAATGTAGAGTTAAATTAAAAAAAATCGATTCGCTGTACAAAATTATCATTATTCAATTCCTTCTCCAATGGAAGCTACTAAGCTAATTAAATACCTATACAGAACTTGAACTTAAAACACTTAAAAGAATTTTAAAAACACAAATAACCTAGGTATAGAAGAAGCAGATGAACGATCCAGAAGAGGCCACACAGATGCTATTGAGATCAATCGGATGAAAACTTTTTAATATATTCCATCAACATGAGGAACCATATCATATAAAAATTGATATGAAAGCGAGAAAGAATTCAACGCCATACAGTATGATAATAATAATCTTGGAAGTACCTCAGCGGAGATTCTCGGCGGGGCGAAGGCTTGGAAAACTGAAAACGAGTGATGGTTTTGCGAACGGGAAGAGAACCCACAACCCTTTTTAAACGAAACCGAAAACGGTTTTCAGATCCTAAGTAGAGGCTAGGTTTGTGAAAACGGGCCCGTATGGTAACCGATATTTTCGGTTACCAACTTTACTAGTATTCTACCCGTGCGATGCACGGGAAAATATATTACTCATACGGAAAAGTAAGTTTTTGAACCATGTTAATTATTCATGTAATTTAATAATTTGTCACATATAAATTAGATTGTCATAATGTAATAATTGTAAATATAAATGAACATATAAAAATCTAAGTAACAAAAGATTTCCACAATAATAAAAGCATATTGAAGGATGAAAGTTATAAATGTTTTACAAATTTCAAAATACTTGCATAAATACAACATTTGTTGTTACATTGATAAAGCCTCTGCCCACAATCCTTAAATTATCCTTTATTTAGCCTTGGCTGCATATGTCGTCGATAAAGCCACTCTTGTCATTGCCAGAGCACCTCAACACAAGTCGTTACTTCTTTGATGGGTATTAGGTTCCACATTGAAAATTAATATTTGGGGGGGCCATTTGGGATTATTCTTCATACTTTCAATTTTAAACTGATTTCACATGAAGAAACAAAAAGAATTTACAAAATATAATGAATGCCCCAAAACATACATATGATAATTCCTTTAGCCTTTACGGTGGCATCTTGAAGTCATCCTTTATGGGCACAATGGACTCGTATGTTTCTGCCATCCAAAAACTGCATGGAAGGCACAATACAACCAGTCAATCAAACAAAAATAACTGATGATATGCAATGAAGCACTTAAAAACTAGTATAATGCTACAAAGACACCTCTTTAACAACAACGGGTATTAAAGTAATCCATATGTCTGTTAAGTATATACACAGTTTCATTTTCTGCGTGTCCCAAAAATATTAATATTTCCTTAAGGATAGCAATATGCAGTTTCGAATAGATCTTTTCCTACTAAGCAAATCTCAATTACAATATTTTTATCTTCTTAACTCTGGGTCAAATTAAATTGGGCAATAAAATAGGCAGAAATGGAGATCATTTTTCATAAAAGTGTAAAGACTATATATCAAAGTATTTCACAAAGACAGCATTTGTGCACTAACTTTTACATCAACATCATTTTTTAAGATACTCTGACCCCAGATAGAACGACAATGGATTTGTGTGTGCGCTAACAGAAAAATGGTTTAGGTGTCAAAACTTTCGTTGAAGTACCTGACCATTTATTTCCTTTAATGCCTCATTTGCTGCAGTTTCTGAATCAAATTTCACAAACCCATAGCCCTTCGACTTGCCACTTCTATGGTCACATATTACCTTCACTAAAACAGAGAGAATATGTTGTCTTATCAGACGAAGCTAATTGCAGAAACTAAGCAAGATCACTGAGTTTACTGTAAAGTGTTACCTTCAATCAATTCACCATGCTTCTTAAAAGCTTCATTCAAAATAGTTTCATTTGTATCATATGAAAGGCCTGAAACATGGGTTTGAAATATAGCAAGAGCAGACATAGATAGCTTTCAAATTATTGGAAAGATAAATTAAGAAGTGTATACTTTGAAGTCAATTTCTGTGTACATATGATGCAAATGATTATTCGTGAAGACTACTCAAATTACACCATTAAAAGTCATGACATCCTACTTATATTTTTGTTCGGTTTAACTAAATTTATTAGCTAGAACTTGTTTGTATTTGGATTTTTTTGGCAAATTACATCGTAAATGGGCTCCCTTTTATGAATGTCTTTTCTTTTGGACAAAACAAACTTTTGAAACCAAACTTCATTTTTTAGGATATCAAGTAGTTTTGTTCGAACTTCTAACATCAACCGATGGATATGCTTCTTGTTCATCCAGCGACACAAACAACTTTGTACAAGAACTCAAATCCATCCCAAAAGACCTCCCAGCCCCATAAATAACAATAGAGAGACCTCCAATGAACAGATTGCGGCAAAGGCTGCTTGATGACATTTGCCTTCTAGTTAATATTGTTGTTGCTTCAGAGTAGTAGTTGTAAGCAGTGAAAGCCTTTTGGCATCTCATTTAGGGGAGAATGGTTTTTATTGCAGATGGCGTCAAATCCCCTGCGAAAAAGAAAAATGACACTCCTTAATATTTAAGAATAGGCCTAAATATGTTTTGAGTCCCTGCAAATATGACACACTTAGTTTTAGGTTTCTTCAAAATAATTTTTTTATTTTTAATCCATGTAATATGCATTATTTTGTTTTTAGTCCATCACTAACTCCGAAGCCACTCTATTTACAAAAAACATTATTGCTATTTGCCTAAATCTACTAAAACATTTAAATTATCCTTTTATAATTTTTTTGAGGCAAATATGAGAGTTAAAACAATAAAAAACTAATTATTCCCATTTTAAAAATATGTATTAAAAACCTTCTAAAATATGGAGTATAAAAGTAAATAGTTTTTGAATAACATCACAAAGAATTAGAGGAATCCTATTGGTTGAGGTTATTTTGGGGTAAAATGAAGGTTATTACAATTTGTGTTGTACTAAAAGAAAAACCATCAGAAAAACAAAAAATAATTTAGACACGTATGTAAAACAAAATGTACTATATTTAAAGAGACTAAAAACATATTCCTTAGCAACATCATCTTGATCTTTGGGATGTTTTTGCTGTAAATATAATGGTAACACTTGAGACGTATCATTATGCAATTTCAGAAAGAAATTTATACATGACCCGATATCCCAATACTCAGACAGTAAGGGCCTGTTTGGTCCCCTGTCAACTGGCAGTAGGCCCATACACCCGTGCACACCAGAAGCCCAGCTTTATTTCAAGTTCTGTGACCTCCACCACTCGATCAACTGAGCGACCCGTGCGGGCGACTTATCTTTTTAAAAATATGTCTGTATGCTATCGCGATAAATTTGTGCAAACGGACGGTTGAGAAAAGATTGAAGAGATTTCTTATGTTCTTTTTGCTTCTTAGGAATCTCAAACCTTATGGCCTGTTTGCATTGAGTCTTAGGGAGTGTTAGTAATGGAAGTGTTAGTAAGTGTTATATTAACACTTATTTGGGAGAAAAATTAAGAGATGTTAAGAAGTGTTAGTAAATGTTAGTAAGCGTTAATAATAACCATCCCAACACCTCAATTGTACACTTTTTTAACACCCCGATTTAGAGTGTTTTGAGGTCCCGATTTGGAGTGTTTTGAGGTGTTAGACAATTATTACCCTTCTCATTTACCCAAAAAACATAAAATGCTTTGACATCTCACTTCGAATCTCTTTGCCGTAGGGATGATGGTCTTCCTTTTTCATCTCTTGTCCTTACATGTTTCTTCTGACTCAAGTTAAAATTATGAACACTTCCATTATTAACACTTTATTCATTTGACTCTCCCAAACAAGGTAAAATTATGTCTAACACTTACACTTCCATTCCCTTTTGGACCCTTACTAACACTTACTAACACTTCCAAACACTCCATCCAAACATGTCCTTACTGTTTGAGTATTGGGATATCAGGTCATGTATAAATTTCTTTCTGAAATTGCATAATGATACGTCTCAAGTGTTACCATTATATTTACAGCAAAAACATCCCAAAGATCAAGATGATGTTGCTAAGGAATATGTTTTTAGTCTCTTTAAACATAGTACATTTTGTTTTACATACGTGTCTAAATTATTTTTTGTTTTTCTTATGGTTTTTCTTTTAGTCCAACACCAATTGTAATAACCTACGTTTTACCCCAAAATAACCTCAACCAAGAGGATTCCTCTAATTCTTTGTGATGTGATTCAAAAACTAATTCATTGTGATGTGATTCAAAAACTATTTACTTTTATACTCCGTATTTTAGAAGGTTTTTAATACATATTTTTTAAAATGGGAATACTTAGTTTTTTATCGTTTTAACGCTCATATTTGCCTCAAAAAAATTATAAAAGGATAATTTAAATGTTTTAGTAGATTTAGGCAAATAGCAATAATGTTTTTTGTAAATAGAGTGACTTCAGAGTTAGCGATGGACTAAAAACAAAATAATGCATATTACATGGATTAAAAATAAAAAAATTATTTTGAAGAAACCTAAAACTAAGTGTGTCATATTTGCATGGACTCAACATATTCAAGCCTATTCTTAAATATTAAGGAGTGTCATTTTTCTTTTCCGCAGGGGAATTGACGCCATCTGCAATAAAAACCATTCTCCCCTAAATGGGATGCCAAAAGGCTTTCACTGTTTACAACTACTACTCTGCAGCAACAACAATATTAACTAGAAGACAAATGTCATCAAGCAGCCCTTGCCGTAATCTGTTCATTGGAGGTCTCTCTATTGTTATTTATGGGGATGGGAGGTCTTTTGGGTTGGATTTGAGTTCTTGTACAAAGTTGTTTGTGTTGGTGGATGAACAAGAAGCATATCCATCGGTTGATGTTATAGAAGTTTGAACAAAACTACTCGCTATCCTAAAAAATGAAGTTTGGTTTCAAAAGTTTGTTTTGTCCAAAAGAAAAGACATTCATAAAAGGGAGCCCATTTACGATGTAATTTGTCAAAAAAAATCCAAATACAAACAAGTTCCAGCTAATAAATTTAGTTAAAACCGACCAAAAATATAAGTAGGATGTCATGACTTTTAATTTGAGTAATTTGAGTAGTCTTCACGAATAATCATTTGCATCATATGTACACAGAAATTGACTTCAAAGTATACTATTCTTAATTTATCTTTCCAATAATTTGAAAGTTATCTATGTCTGCTCTTACTATATTTCAAACCCATGTTTCAGGCCTTTCATATGATACAAATGAAACTATTTTGAATGAAGTTTTTAAGAAGCACGGTGAATTGATTGAAGGTAGCACTTTACACTAAACTCAGTGATCTTGCTTAGTTTCTACAATTAGCTTCGTCTGATAAGACAACATATTCTCTGTGTTTTAGTGAAGGTAATATGTGACCATAGAAGTGGCAAGTCGAAGGGCTATGGGTTTGTGAAATTTAATTCAGAAACTGCAGCAAATGAGGCATTAAAGGAAATGAATGGCCAGGTACTTCAACGAAAGTTTTGACACCTAAACCATTTTTCTGTTAGCGCACACACAAATCCATTGTTGTCCTATCTGGGGTTAGAGTATCTTAAAAAATGATGTTGATGTAAAAGTTAGTGCACAAATGCTATCTTTGTGAAATACTTTGATATAGTCTTTACACTTTTATGAAAAATGATCTCCATTTCTGCCTATTTTATTGCCCAATTTAATTTGACTCAGAGTTAAGAAGATAAAAATATTGCAATTGAGATTTGCTTAGAAGGAAAAGACTATTCGAAACTGCATATTGCTATCCTTGAGGAAATATTAATATTTTTGGGACACGCAGAAAATGAAACTGTGTATATACTTAACAGACATATGGATTACTTTAATACCCGTTGTTGCTAAAGAGGTGTCTTTGTAGCATTATATTAGTTTTTAAGTGCTTCATTGCATATCATCAGTTTTTTTTGTTTGATTGACTGTATTGTGCTTTCCATGCAGTTTTTGGATGGCAGAAACATACGTGTCCATTGTGCCCATAAAGGATGACTTCAAGATGCCACCCTAAAGGCTAAAGGAATTATCATATGTATGTTTTGGGGCATTCATTATATTTTGTAAATTCTTTTTGTTTCTTCATGTGAAATCAGTTTAAAATTGAAAGTATGAAGAATAAATAAAGGATTGTGGGCAGAGGGTTTGCAGAGGTCGGTGTAAAGATACACTGTCGCAGTGCATAACGAGAAAGTAAAGATAACCACAGGCAGGGATTTTGGATGGCATAAAACTTGTCGTGGATTTAGGATGTGTTTACTTGGACTGTAATTTTCTGGTCTGGCTGGTCTGATCTGGTCTGGTTTCTTTGTATTTTTATATCTATCTAAGTCTGGTCTGAACTGGTTTGATCTGGTCTGGCATAACTATTTGACTTCAAAGTATACATCCTTAAATTAACGACTTAAGAATGCTAGAGGAACCAATGACTTTAGGTTACCATTACTTCCATTGGCTCTTCTACTATTTTAGATGTGTTTTCTTCCTCCCTATTCAGTTTAAATTATGAACTGATATGAGAATCTCTTCTTCATCAATTTACAACTTAAATTTTCTCGTCTATTTTTTTGGTAATTTTTTCTAACCTATTTATATAGTATTTGTTAAATGTTAAGCCAACATCCTTGAACAAAGATGAGATTTGAATTTGTGACTTCTTCTTTGGGAGTTTCACAGACCACTTTCACTTGAGTATTGACTTATGTTCATTCATTTCAAGTGGTTTACTTTTTAAATTCAGCTAAATTTACCGTGTTCTATTATTTACATAAAGATACATCACATCACACATTTTTCATATGTACCTTAACTAGTTATAACACCAAAAACACCAAACATATAACATTTTTAACTACAGACACTAATCATTTACGCACTAGTCACATGTGATTACAACTTTCAAGTTTCAATATCAATTAGAAATTAGTATTCAATTTTTAACTGAATGAACTTTTAAAAATTTGTGACTAATTCCTAATACAAAACACTACCCTTAGTTCCCCTCCTCCTCGTTCATTCTTATTAACAGAAACGGGCCTTCATAAATGGGCACTGTGTCATTGGGCTGGGTGCCCTTTATGTGGGCTGTCCCTAAAGATATCAGGGACGGGTAGGTCTTTTTTTCTGTGCTTCTCCAGACCACAAATGTTTTAGGCCCAAAAGGGAGCCGGAAGTGAATCTTTAATAAACAAAGGCACAAAGATTAGTTGCACGAAAGTAATCGGCCGTTCTTCTCAGCCTATCGCCCTGATTTCTCCGAGTTTTCTTCTCTTCTTGATTTTCAGTATTGTTATTGTAACTCATTTAAAGATCTACTTTTTAACAAATTTTGATAATTGGGAAGAGGGATCTACATTAAGATGCATGCTACCATAAAATATTATGGAAAGATAATCCAGGCACATAACAGATTAGTAGTGGAGTTTGGTGATTTTTTTGTCGAAGGCCCTATATGTAATGAATTTTATAGTTTTATTCCTGGACGGGCTAGTCAAAAGCGCACACTTTTTCGCTTAAGAGCACCAGGCGAGGCACTCTAGAGGTGCAGGGCCTTATACTCTTCCACGTGAGGCTGTCTCACTGAGGCACAATATAAGCACAAGAAGCACAGAGGCGCAGAAGCGCTAGAAGCGCACGCATGACTCGCCTGCAGCCCTGGACTGGTAAAGGGTTCTGATTTTATTAAAATAAGATTTGGGCCTATTATAAATGAACCCATATCAATAATAAAAATAGCCCATCCAACTAATAGGGGGAAAACAACTTAAACCGTTGAACTCTTATTACCTGTGTTCGACCCACACCCTCCACAACATGCACAAGGCAACCTCCTTCTCCTACTATTTTTTTTTATCTTCTTTCTGGTCTTTTTAATTTCTTCTTTTCTTATTTTTCACCTTTTGAATGTAAAATCTATATTTTTATCTCATCATTTAAAAGTCTATATCTTTATCTTTTTTTATCTGTCATTTTCTTCTTCTTTTTCTTCTGTTTTATACTTTATCTCCTAACCAATAATAATTTTCTTCTTCTAGTTTTGTTTTTTCTAACTTTTTTTATATATTAGAATTATAACTATGGTATATATTTTATACTCCGTCCGTCCCGAAAAGGTTGACCAAAGTTGACTTTCATGTGGATTAATAAAGTAAAAACCGTGTGGTTAAAATCTGTGCAGAGGAGAGAGAATTAATTTTAGCCACATATTCCTTACTTTAAATGGAAATGTCAAATCTTTTTGGGACATCCAAAAAAGGAAATTTGGCCAACCTTTTGGAGATGGAGGGAGTTGTATATAGATGTGAGCTTGACATGAGTATAAAAATAAAAAAACTTCAATGTGCCTCCAATGCGCCTCAGGACTTTGACTACCTTGTTCCTTAAACATAAGGTCTCGTCAATAAAAATAAAAAAACTTCGACCTTATAGCTATGTATTGTGTCATTACTTACAAATTGTTATGTCATATCTAAAATATAGGTGCTTGTCATACGTTGGATGTCAGCATACCTCAATTAAGAGTGATTTTGATTATAGGTTGATGCAGTGTCATTTTAATGCATGTTCATTTAATACTGTCTGCCACGTATTTTTTATAGGGTTAACCTAATGGCTGAGTTGTCTGCACAAGCTCAGCATGTTCACAGTTGAGTACCTAATACCTTAATACCTATTACTTATCCTCTTCATCCGAATTCCTGGCCTTGACATAACATGGTGCACTCTCATTGTTAGTAATTTCGTTGCCAGTTTGCCTCATGTTGTTTTGCATGTTTGTTCATGTGTCATGTGTGGATGCTGTATTTATAGTTTTGATATTTTAGGCTTAACTCAACTGGTGGGCGTCGGATAGGTGCTAAGAGACATGGCTGCACTTAAGAGGAAACAATCCAAAATTTTGAATTAAATATAGAGAAAGAACAAAGATGGCATCAGACCACCCTTTAGAAAAAATTTATTCTGGCTCACAAGCTATTTTTTTTAGAAATATTCCAGTACTCTTCTAACTAGACCATCCTTCTGCAAGAGTTTCTCACCAAATCTCTGCTCCATCACATTGAGATCTGCCATTCTGCCTATTGATTTGATTATTTTGGCAAATCAACGTTTTCCAAATCCCCCCCCCCCAACCAATATTTATGTATGATCCATGGACCCACAAGCCACATATGAAAATAGGTTGATGCCATCAAAATGAAACACATCAAATAATATTTTCAAAAAACACAAGAAATGTGGGGAACTGTTCAAACATTAAAATTGGAATTCAGTCTGTCTTATTTTTTTTCCAAATAAGATAGTCCAATTCTCTAAGTTTGACCAAATGAATCTAATTTTTCATGTAATTTATCTAACGATTGGCAAAAAGGAGTCACATGGAAATTACCAATGATAGTTTTTAGTTTAACCAACTCATAGATTTTAAAATATAAGTATTAGCATATTTAACAAATGAATACATGATTTTTCCACAATTAAAAGGTACACATTTTTTAGACATGAATACATGATTTTTCCCCGATGCGGGTAGTAACATTCTTTTGTGCATATCACATAGTTCTAGGAATGCAAGTGGAGCTTTTCGTGCTTGTTGCGCGTGTTGCTCCTGCTAGTCATGCTTTATTCCTGCTTCTTGCCTTTCTCTTGACTCATTGTAGTCTTCATGTATAGCTTTTGATGCCAAGTACTTGCAATAACTCTATGAGCAACATTGCTGGATCTCAATTTGTATTGTCTGTTGAAATGTTCTGCATCACAATTCAGGTACATCAGAAAACAAAGATGGGATCAGAACAGACTCCAACCAAGATGTTGTACATAATAATACTTCAGATGCTGCAAAGCCTGAAGAAACTGGTATGTTTTCATAGTTTTTGCATTCCCCTATTAAATCTGCTAAACTTTCCCTTTCCATAAAGCAAACGAAGGTTTACCTAATCTCCCCTTCTATTTTCTGTTCGTGGACTGGATCGACCTAATGTTAATCTTCAATATGGTAATTGATTTCAGAGAGGAAAGCTAGGATTGATGTTGTTTGGCAGCAGATGAACAAAGGAGTGCCTTCCAAAACTCTTATTTCCATGTTAAAGAAGCATAGTTCACCAGTCAAACCAAGTATGACTAAGAGTTCAAAGTCATCCACTGTGAGTAGTAGTTGCACATATCTGTTTCTATCAAGTCATTTTTAGCATGAATGAGTTTTCCTTTGATGTTTAATGTCTGTGTAGAATTGGATGACAGTACTGGGGTTGGCACCAAAAAAGGCAGCATCCCCTGTCCAAAGTGCAACTGAAAAGCAGCCAACTAATATCACACAGTTGGAGACCAGTGAAGATGCAAAGAACCTGGCTGCTGCTGCTCTTGCTGCGGCGAAGGATGCTATTTCTACTGCTGCAGCATCTTCCAACAGGGGCAAAATTGAGGTGATTTTGCCGTTTTTCAATTTACTCTTGCAGAAATAATTTTGTAAATAATATATTGAAATATTATTCCTTTAACTAGAGCACTTTCAATACCAATTTCTTAGTTTCATAAGAAGTGCTTTTGATAAAATGGGTCTAGTAAAACTGCTATATTGTTAGTCGATACAATATTTATTTTTTGTCTGTATGACTGAAAAGCACTTTAGGGAGAACCATCTATCGAGTATTACTCCCTTTGTCCCCCTATTATTGGGACGGAAGGGAGTAATGTGGTTTTTAAGAAAAGTAGAATTATGTGGTTGATAATGAGTTCATAAGTTGAGAATAAAGTAAGAATGAATTAGAGTCACACAAATGTTACCAAATAATAAGGGGACATCCAAAAATGGAAATATGAGACAATTATAGGGGGATGGAGGGAGTAATTTAAAAAAGCTTTAAATGAATTTTCAAATGTTTAGAGGTACCTTGAAGATCATTCATCAAGTGCATAAAAGCCATTTTATTGGCCGCTGCACAAGTGTATTTCCAATCCTTTTAAGGACCGAACATCATATAAATACACATTGAATGTGAGGGTAAAGTATATACTTCGTATATACTTGCACTTGGACTTTTATCAAACCATATAATGCAACTCTCGGGGAACTTTGCTTTTTTTAGAATGACACTTTATTTCCCTGTACATCTCATTATATAAAAAAATTATTACTTGGGAAGGTTTCAGAAGTTAGGGACTTTGCTGGAGAACAAGTAGAGGTAAAGAAGTACGTGGATGCCAGCAGCTTAAAAGAGGGAGTATCAGACAAAGCAAAAGGTCAACCAGCAGGGACTGTTTCTGCAGTTGATGCTGTTCTTGAACAAATAAGGAAGAAACAGAAACTTAGTGTGCTGGATAAGACAAAGAAGGACTGGGTAGAGTACAAGGGAGAACACAAAGGTGTTGAAGAGGAGCTGGATGCTTACAAGAAGAGCTCAAATCAGTATCTAGATAAGGTTTCTTTCTTGCAGCGTGCCGATTACAGAGAATTTGAGAAGGAACGAGATGTCCGGCTTGCAATTCAGGCCAAGAGGAAACCTGATATGCGGGAGGACTAGTGAAGGTGGATTGTCGGTCATAGTGTATGTGTATGCTCCCGTCTAATCTGCTTTTCGGCTATCCACGCCCTTGGATTCTCTGACAGTTTTGGAAGAAGGAAGAGCAAGGTGTGATGATCTACATATTCCTTGGACCAATTCATTTTCATTATGTACCAAAAAAGTTGCACTAGTAATCGGTATCCTCTATTCTTGTCATTCCCAGTATTTCCCACCATGTACCAATAAAATTGCACTAGGTCTCTATTCCCCCCACCCTAACAATAACTTTTCTATGTCTTTATGCAATGTTTGCAATACTGCACACAATTTTGAAACATCATTTTGTTTCATTATGATAAATTCAAGCAATGCTATTTACTTGAGGCACGCCTCTCTGAAGGTAGGATATGATTTGTTCCTTTGTATTCAGCACATGTCAGAGATATTTCAACGATATATCTGTAGTCATTTTTGCCCACCTGATTGTATCTCGAAAAGGACCAAAAGGAAATGAGAAATCTTGAGTTTTCTGACATTTTGTCATTATTATTAGCAAACTTGTTAAAAGCGGAAAAAAGCGTAAAAAAGCGACAAATGCGCAGGCAAGCGATGAACCTGCGCCTCGCTTTTGAGAAGCATCCTAGCATGAGAAAGCTGCGCTTTTCCTTCGCTTTTCTGGAGCTCGCTTTTCCGAAAAGTGACCGCTTTGCCCAACTTCTCACAAAAAGCGGCTTTGACAAGTCATTATTAAGTTTTAGTCGCTTGTCGTTACGTTATTAGGGTTATCAGGTTTAAGTTCGACTCTTTCCACAATCCCACTGCGTTGAAGAAGTCGCAGCTTGCGATTGAAGAAGACAGTGAGTGAGCTACGGAAGTCTTCTCGTCTCTGTCACCTGGTTCAGTCTGAAGAAGCGGCAGTTCTATTTCATCCAGACTTTGTGAGCCACAATTCTATTTCATTCAGATTTCAGATTGTTCTCCATACTTTTCATTCAGATTTTCTTCAGACAACCAGTATTTCATTAAGTTTACTCTGCTTTAGTTTGTGCCAAACTTCTGCAGCTCTTTGTTTTCTATTTTTATTTTTGAAAGTTTTGCTCTTACACAGTTTCTATAAGCTTCTAAAACAGCCTATATTATATAGATATTATTTAATGAAAGAAATCACGATTTATCATTTTCTTGTTAGTAATTATAGTTTTAAACATGTGAATTATATATCATAATGAAAACATAGATAGCTAATGCCTTTTGTTGAAGAAAGAAATCATTTTCTTGGTAGTAATTGTACCTATTATTTTATCAAGTATTAATGTAGAATTTTTTTTACGAAAACATCAATCTATTTTCTTGATTAATTAAATATTAGTTTATTGACTTTATTCCAATTTATTCATTTCAGTTTATTGATTAATTAATTTGTAGTTTATTCCAGTTTATTCTACTTTACTTCTTTTAGTTTATTGATTAAATAATTTTTAGTTTATTACTTGATTTACTTCAGTCCAGTTTGTTCCTTTCAGTTTATTGATGAACTAATTTTTAGTTTATTCCCGTTTATTCCCCTAAGTAAACGGGTCTTATGTGTGACTTTTCAAAAGTAAATTGTACCTTATAAGTCTCAATTGATCTTTGTACACTTGCTTGATGTCTTGACTAAATATTTGTGAAACATGTATATGTAGAATCATAGACAATTATGTGAAGGATGTTTTTATCTTTATGCCGCGCTAGTATTACCCTTATGACTTTTATGATTAGTTATGCGTAATTGTGTGATGCATGTTTTGAAACTTTATGCCGCACTAATCGTATTCTTAATGACTTTTATGAATACTTATGCATTTTGCCATAATTATACAATATATATTATATTTTTTATTATTTTTATAAGCATCGCTTTTTGTGAGAAAGCTACGCTTCGTTTAGCGCTTTCGCTTTTAAGCAAAGCTCAAGGTCATCGCTTTTGGATGCTTTTCGCTTTAAAAAAGTTTGATTATTAGCCAAATTTATACACCGATATACATTATTAAAATCAATTAACGGTGCTAATATTGAATTTCATTAGAAATTTTGACTATTATATATAGGGGTGGACGTGGTCCGGAACGGTCCGGGAAGTTAGTAAAACCTGTAATGTACCTGTGAGGTTTATAACGGTCCGGTATGGTTGATTCTAAGGATGGAACCATTCAGTACCATGTCATTTCGGAATAGTAGAAAATGGTACGATATAATGTCAAACACATTTAACAAATTGGACAAATATGACAATTAGTAAATAACATCACACCAACCAACTCACATTAAGTGTTGATATTAATACAAGAAATTGCCTACGTAGTACTAAAATTCACAAATACACAAATAATGCAACACAACTAAGAAAAAGTATAGCAAAATGATGATACACGAGATATTTTCAACGTTCTTCTTTGTTCTAGGTCAAATATTAGTTCTAATTTAATTTATAGTTGATACGTGAGAGCTAAAATTTAAACCATATTAATTAAGTTGTACAATTGCACAAACATGATATAACAAAAAGTCATATACACTACATTACTAGAAATGAATAGTCATTAATGATTTTTAAAACTTTAAGATTCTCTCAATACATACCAAAATATAACATAAAATTATCTTAAAAGAGAACAACAATATACATATAAAAACCACACATTTAGTTATTTTAGGGACACATGAATGCATATTTGGGTATAAAATTGTTGGTCTATAAACTATATTTATCGGTATGGAAGAAAATATAAATCAAATGCATTATTTTTGAACGGTCCGGTCCGTTATTTTTCGGTTCTCAAAATCTAGGACCGATCCCGTGCCCGTTTCAAATTATACGGTTTCGGTTCGGGATAAAAATCTATAGAACCGTTTAAATACCCGATATTCGGTTCGGTACCTTTATGGTTCGGTTCGGTACCAGTTCGGTTCGGGTTTTATGTCCACCCCTAATAATATATAGAGATTTTTTCAAAATTATTACTGGGATGAACTTCTTTATAAAAATAAAAATATGATTAATAGTATAGTTTCGTGGTTACTTAAGTATAAAAATTGAGTATAAGTTACTACTATAATTACTACACTTAAGATGTCAAAATTTTGTAAATAACATTTATTTTAGTCATGTACTTCGTTTATATATATAATTATTTTATGTAAAATTTTAACATCGTATACTATTCAAAAATGGCAGGTAGGGCTGGCATTTTGGACCGAAAAATCGAAAACCGAACAAAAAAAACCGAACCGTTTTGATATCGGCTGCCATTGGCAGGTATGTTAAATTAAATGGAGAAAAACGAACTGATCAAATATAACATTGTAGTGTAACTGTGTAAATACTGGATTTGAGTCATTTGACAAGATATAAACAAAAATTCAGCAAAAGGTGACAGAGAAAGAAAGAGCACACATTTTTCTCAGGTGTTGAGCCTTTTTTATCTGAACCCAAAAGTTATTGCGCTTCATAATTATGATAAAATAAAGTAAAACTAATGAGAAGTAAATACAGCTGTTACGAAATAATGCTGATATTTAAATCTAAAGTTGCTCCATTGCTATAGAGATACAATGTTTGTGCCTAAAGTAGCCAAATAATCTATCAATAATTACAGAAGTTACAACACCAACTTATGCAATATACAAATCAACAGTGGATCAAGAAAAGAATCGGAAGAACAGAAGCAGAGCAATAGTTGCATTTGGTGACATGCAGCCAGCCTCTTCATCCCTCCATCAGTCCCTTGGGTTACCCTCTCTTAGAGTCTTAGAGCCTCCATAAATAGCACTCTATACCACCAAATCAATATGATGAATTTAATTACCATAAGTTTTGATATAAGGCATAGTTTTGTCATTTTGAAATTTAGTGGTCAAGATGTCAGAATTCCATCCTCTTTGTCAATCTCTGCATTAGTAAAAGCGAGGGCGCGCTGCAATTTTCTTGGACAGAATATCTCAACCTCTACCATGTAAGACGCAGTCACTGGCCGATGATCAGAAAGTCTAATGTCAGATCTCCCGTAGTTAAGAAGCCGCATTCCTTTCCCATATGAAAGAATACGGTCACACCTGAGTGAATCCGTGGGGAGTCATGTTAAGCCAATCTTACATTGCAAAAATATTATAGACAACACAACATATTAGTCTACTCTTACCAATACTCAAAAGGATGAATTTTTAGATCCAACCTCAAGTCTTAATGACATGGTATAGGAGTATATTAAATTCCAGTGAGCAATTTTAAGAAATACACATACCAGGCTGGAGTACGCTTCCCACACTTTGCATCCTCTCCAATGTAATTCTCTGAGTTTATGTCATACTTATAAGTCGGTGGGAAATTTAAAATACCTTCAGCCCATCCATCAAAAGTGCGTCCTTTCTTCAATTCTTTTGTAAGCTGCACAAAAACATGATGATGTACTCATCTGCAAGGTTCAATAACATATACTTCTATACACAGAAGGTTACTGCTTCACCACAAGGGACAAACATCGCCTAATAGTTCAATTCAAAAGAGTTGATTAATTTTACCTGATCACTTTCAGTTAACTTAGACCACTCTCTTTTGGATATTAGCTCCCGCGTTTTCTCATATGACAAATCCATACGATAATTTAAATCACCTAGCCAGATTATCTTCCTGCACCAATTCAAATGATAAACCTCAATGATAACAGCTTAAAGCATAATAAAAGAAACTACTTCAAATGGGGTTAAAAAGTACGGAGTATAATTTAGTTTAACAAAAAACTGTAAAATTATGCCTCATGGACACCAAAAGTTAATGAATAGGAAAAGATCTGTCATACTCACTCATGCTCACTGATGCTTCTAGGAAGCCCAATAGTAGAATATGCACTAAAGTGTGTCCTCCTCTGAATTTCGTGAACATCTGCATTTCTTTTGACCACATCCGAATCTTTTTCCCCCGATGTTAGATGAGTACAAACAAAACAGAAAAGGGTCTGGTGTATAGACATGCTAACCGATATTGATCCCTGGAACGCAGAAAATGTATATGTTATAGAGGAGTAGATTTTGCAATCCTCCCTATCAGCCAAATGCCAAAACTAGCTTTATAAAAAGCAATCGAAAGAGTGCACCCCAAGCCTATAGTTGGAGTTTGAAAGTGAAAGGGAAACGGGAACAGAAACAGAAACTACAGAAAGAAAATCAAATTTCATTAAAACTTTTATAGTTTTACATACATTTAGACTTTTGAATTCATATTATAGAAATATATACTAAAATAAGTTTAAACAAATATCCAAATCTGACATAAGGAGTTCGAAGGAACTTTTCATTTACCAATGCAAATTTTTCCCTTCCAAAGTTTCTCTTTTTTACTTTCTGTTTTCATCCCTTGGTATTTCCGGAGATCCAAATGAACCCAACTGTCTCAAGAGTGATATAAATCTAAAATGATATTTAAATAATATGTTTCTGGATAT